GCGGGGAGCCGGCCGGCGGTTTGTGAGCGCGGGTGGCACCTCCCGCCCGCGGGGCAGAGCAGCGGGGCGCTCCTGGCGAGCGCCGGCTCCGCGGCGTTGTGCCGGGTCTCCGCCGGGTCGAGGCACAAAGTAGCGGGCTGAGGCCCTTTGCAGAGTCAGCATCTCTTCGGGTTTGTATTTGCTGCTGAACCGCGTCGTTCCGTGCAGAAGTTGCTTCCCTGGGCAGGAGGAGCTCAGAGACGAGTGGCCGGCGGAGGGCCTCCAGGCCTTCCGCGGCGGGGAAACGGGGCCCTTGGCTGGAGCCGACCGGTGATCAGTGTGGCCGCCTTCCTTAGGCCCCTTCCGCCCGCTGCGGAGGCTGGTAGGATGATAAATGGAGAAGACCTCTTTTCTGTCCCCTGCCACGTCTTTGATTTGAAATGAAGAGTTACGGTTTTAAACAAATAAATTCTTCCCTCCCCGCTGAAGGCGGTTAGCCTTCAGCAATAACTTGAAAAGGCTCATCTGTCCCAGCAGCTTCAGTGAGCCGTAGTAGCATAACTTTCAATAGGCACTGAAGAAAATTACATTTACTTTGTCAAAGTTACACTTTCCGTTTTCCTTTTTTTACTTGTTAAGAAGGTAGAGATCAAAGGAACAAGGATAATTTTCATTAGGTCTTGTAAATTGTTCCTTATGCAGATTATCTTTCTAAAACCTTGAGGTGAGGATTTTTAAGCAGAGTAAGCACTGCACGTCTACATGTTTTGTGTTGAGAGGCACGTCTCTCAACATGTCTCATACCAGTTCTGGTTCAGTTACGATGGCTGATGAAGCTTCACAGACAAAGTTTACATTGTTTGCATGTGCAGAGAAGGGAGGGAGTTGTCACACCATGAATTTCTGTGCATATCACACCCCCCTGTTCTGTGTATGTGCTGTCAGCTCAGCCATCAGTTAAATACTTGGAAGAGTTGGAGGGATGCTCTGGTAGTTAAAGAAGTAGCTGGTACTCACAAGAGCTGAGCGTGACTTCCAGTTCTCCGTGGTGTTCTCCGAGACTTACGTGTCTGTGCTTTCAGCCCCATTTGACAGATGGGAACTGTTTTTCCCTCCTTTTGTGTGTTTACATCTCATGGTGATGATGGTATTATGCTTATTTAAGTTCCTACTGTTGACGTGTGGTCCTTATCATCTTCGTTCATTTTTGTCTGCACAGGCTTTCCTCCCTGTATTTGTTCCACCCCTTCTTCTGCTGCAAGAGCTAGCGTTCTCTTCTTTGCAAGCAAAACACAGTTCTGGGGTTTTTTATACCGTGTCTGTTTCCTGCCATTACTGCTTCCCTCTCTTCAGACTGTGCTCAGTCTTCAGCTCTTCTTCTCCTGCATATCCTGACTGTACCGTACGTGTTTACTTGTGAGCACTATTGATTTACTTAATCCTAGAAAGTAAATGCAGATTCTAGTTCTTGGGGTCTGGAAAACAGTCTGTTGTTTAGAAAATGGTGGTTCGATGCTTGTAACTTCTCTTTGTGTCTTGCTTAGGCTAGTGCTAAATCAAGGCCAGCACCCCTGGGAGTCCACCTCTGAAGGTGTCATTTGGAGTTGTTGTCACTCTTCTGTTGAGAATGGGGAAGGGAAGTGCACTTGTGGCTTTTCAATAGCTTGTTTGCCATTGGTGCAGGCATTCACTGAGGGGGAACGGGTGATCCGGAAAAGCAGTGGATGGGGTGTATCTGTACTCCAGAGTCGTCTTGTCTTTTTTCTTCTGTTCTTCCACGGTTTCATTCCCTTTATGGGAAGGCTGGTTGTCAGTTTTTTTGTGATGAGCTGCCTATTACACTGTTCAGTACACCTCACCAATAACTTTAAAAGTGTGATTTCATGCATGTTGTGTACACACTCTTTCAATTTATGTGTAAAAACACCCATTCTGCTTCCTGAACTTGTTTTAGTTCTGTACTTAGTTGCGCGGGTTTTCTTCCTCTTTTTGTTGCAAAAGCAAACCTCTCTGATGTCTTAGCAGAAGCAAGGAAGCAGCTGTTGGTTTTTCACCTGTAACTGTTTTGTGTATTGCTTTTTTTTTCCCCCCCGCCCCCTCCTTGCCAGGGTTCTGCAGTGTTCCAGGCAGCGAGTTTTGAAGCAGGATGGGAAAAAGACGCTGTGTTCCTCCACTTGAGCCCAAGCTGGCAGCTGGCTGTTGTGGGGTAAAGAAACCCAAATTGTCTGGGAGTGGAACGCACAGTCATGGGAATCAGGCCACAACTGTACCAGGCTCCAGTTCAGGTCCTCTTCAGAACCACCAGCATACAGACGGGAATAATGGAAGGGAGAACGTATCTGACTTGACTTTGGGCCCAGGAAATTCCCCAATTACTCGAATGAATCCCACTTCAGGAGCTCTGAGCCCACTTACTCGGCCCAATGGAACTGCCAACAGCACCAAGAACCTGGTGGTGACAGCGGAGATGTGCTGCTACTGCTTTGATGTACTCTACTGTCATCTCTATGGTTTCCCTCAGCCACGACTTCCTCGATTTACCAATGACCCCTAGTGAGTAAACCCACATGTGGGAGGAAAGCTGAGAAACCAGCATCCAGAGCTGTGGTTTGTTTGGGGAGGGATGAAGGGTTTCCTCTGGAAAATGGGAAAACTGGTATGCAGGGAGGAAGGGGGGCGTTCTGCTGTTTGCTTTGTCTACCAGAAACAAAAAAATCATGCGCTGTAAGCGCACCAAAGCGTAAAAATATTGTTATGTTTGTTGGTGGAGATGAGTGGAGCTTTGAAGAGTGGCCTTCAAGGGAGAACATGCTTAGCTCTACAGAAAGAGAGCTAGGCAAAATACAAGGAAGTGTGGTGCTTCTTCAGCTCACAGTCTGATGTGTTGCATGAGGCGTTGCATACTTTATTGAGGAATGCAAACCCACTTCATGATAATGTTCTGTTAACGTTTGCTCCCTTCTTTGTAAATAGATGCCTCTGCAAAAAACTAACTGCCCTGTGCCTCCCAAAAAATTGTACTAAAAGAATGAGTGAAATGGAAATTAGAGTTTTCAGAAAACAATAAAATAACGTCATTAATTTGAAGAGGATCCTGCTTCTAATGTCAGGCACTAACTTGGTGAAGAGAGAAGGGGAGAGACTTCCTTCTGTGAAGCAAGTGGAAGGGAATAAAGCAAGACGTTCACAAGTTCCCAGCTCATCCTGAAACAAGTGCTGAGCTGGTGAGAATTGGACAGGGACACTCACAAGGGTGTTCAGTTGTCCGAGTTAATGGGTTTAGCAGGGAGGGGAACCAAAAATTTGCCAGTTGTGGAACTAAAAAACAGTGTTACGGAGATAGTGCTAACTGGGCAATATGGGGAGAAAGAGAGTTAACTTTCAAGGACGAGACCAAGGTTAAGAAGAAAGGAGGTGTGTATGAGAAGAAGTGAGGAGAAGGATTTATGAAGGTATTTCGCTTTAGTGAGGTTTAGCTAATGTTTATCTGAAGGTTGAATGCGTAGGTGTGGAAATGTTAATGTTGTTAAAATGTTTGGTGGAAGAATTATATGGGAAAGATCAATGACAGATACGCCTTCTGACACTCCTCCAGGGGCCACCTCCAGAACAGTAGATAAAATAAAAAGTTGTTGACATCCTTAATTTAAGTTAATGAATTTTAAATTGATGTAAAGGAACAATGGCTTAAACAGGTCAAGGACTTTTTCCGTGTATTGAATGTCTCCCCACCTTATTGGCTGTCAGCGTAGATGTAGGTTGTGCATCCATGCAGTTATTATCTGAGCAGGATTATGGATACATGTTCTGAATGTTACCGCAGACTAAGCTGTTTAATACTATAAATACAACTGAATGGAGAAATACTCTGGACTAGAACATAGAATAGTTCCAGGGACTCCCCAAACTGAAATATTTCTGTTGCTGTTTTTCATACCTAAGCTAAGTAGACACCTTTTAGAAAATGATACATTAGTCTGCTTATTATTTTGGCACTTGACAAATGCAAAGGGGTTTTTTTTGTTGTTGTTCTGTTCTTAAGTCAATAAGAGAGATAATTTTATACAGATTCATTATTTTGGTGTTCAAGGAGGTTTCTAGCTGGATTTTGTTGCTGTTTCTGTTGACTAGTTTCAAAAAGGGTGTTCTTTCAGGAATCTCAGCTGTTTGAATTTTATGCCCAAATTTGAAAAGTAAAAAATCATTCACTGGGCATTTCTGTTGCTGATAATTTAAAAGTCTTTTAGATCAGCACTCCAAAGCAAAACCAGTTCTTCTCTTCTCTTCCCCTCCAGACAAATGCCTACCTGAATTTTCTTGTGTTTCAGCATTTATGCTGTTGCTTTTAGCAAATAGTTGTATGTACCCCAGGGAAAAGCATGGGGTTTGCTCTCTTGTAGAGCAGCACACAGGGATGATCTGTCACACTTGAGACAGTAATGTAGTGAGCTTCAAGCCAAATGTTATCAAATGTAAGAGTAAGCAAAGTGAAAATACATAAATAATTTGCATTGTTGTCCTTTGTAACATAATTAATGTCGATGTAAGAGATCATCAAACAAAACAAAGGTATATACCAGAAGTCTCTCTGGACAGACAGAAAAGAGACTGTTGGTGGAAGAAACAGAAAGATGCACAGGTTTGTCCGGACCTATTTCTCAGAAAACAGATCTTTTAAATTGGTGCTGAACCCCAAAGTAAAGATAGAAGTGGTCGTGAAGGTCAGGATTCTGCACAGACAGGGTAATAACAGAAAAGTTACAGGGTTATGACTTGAAAACTACCGTGAATTCCAATTACCAGCTTGAGAGGATATGCACATGGACAACAATCTTGGTGGGAATTATGGAGGTGGTAGATACCTACGGAGTAAGCGAACCTTACATATATGTTAGCAGCGAAGTTCACAAATCAATGTAGAGAAGGTGGCATTGCAAGACTTGTAGTTATGTCTGAATTAACTTGGTAAATGAAGAAAATATCCCCTTTGCTGTTCAGGTTACTGAAAAATGACAATTTTCAACCTGTATAGCATGCCAATAGTTAACTGTGGTTACTTCTTCCACTTTTGTACTTAAGTCTTTCATTTTTTTTAATAGTAGGTATTACACACTGGTACTAAAACCACACCATGCAAGTTTCTAGTATGCAAGACAAATAATAAGATACTTGCATCATAAAATCTGTACTGTAACAGGTTTTTTCCTAGTACAAGCTAAATTCTGATTTGAACAAACTGTATTTTGCTACTTTAAAATTCCCTTTGCAGTTGCAGTTGGAGAATCTATTTTTTAGTTGCTGAAATTCCCCTCCCCTCAGCCCAGCCAACTCTCATCAAACACACCTAAATAGGATGTTGTGGCTGGGGGAGAAATGGTTGCCATAATCTGCGCAGGATATGACTGCAAAGTACTGGTAAGAGCTCTTGGGTGAACATGGGCGAAAGATTGTCATGACTTTTCTCGGTACATCCGGGAAATACACTTTTCAGGGAGGGGCTATGGAACAATTGGCTTATTGTCAGCTGCACCTGCATTTTGCAAAGCGCATTTATTCTTCAGGTATAGAAACAACATTTTTTTCTACAGTGAAAAACTTTATAATAGTGAAATTTTATATACTTGTACAAAATCATAATCTTTTTTTTATGCCTCAGTTGTTATGACCACGGTGAAAAATTGTTAAAAATGTGCTTTAAGATCTTTTAAAATATGACAGCCTCCTGAATGTAATTATCCTGCCCTTTCTGGTAATATCTCTTCTATTATAGACGCAGAAAGCTGTGTCACAGCTCAGTGGAAACATCATCTTTTTTTTTCTTTTTTTTTTTTTTTGAGGGGGAGTGTTTTTTGGAAGGGGAAAGAGGTGCATTGGAAATGTGAACCTGTAATTTGAATCCAAGAAGAGAAGGAACTTACTTAAATTTGTATTGTCAGTGATGTTTTTTCATTTTCTCCCTTCCCTTTTCTGTTTGGGGTGAGTGTCACATGGGCTAATTAATGGTTTCAAAACTTTAATTAGATTAAGCTAAATTTCCACTGAGCTTTTGACAGTAATGTTTCTCAGAAATCTCCTTTGTAAGTTTAGTATCTTTTTTTTGGTAAGCTTTCTAATGTATTTTCTTACACTCTGTTTCTGTTTTCTGCTTCAACATATGGTAGCTAGATGAAAGTGTAGAGGAATGATATTCTGCAAGTGCCTTGAAGTGGTGTTGGAAAACTAGAACAGTAAATCCTCTGTCTTGGTCAAGCAACCAGAAGGTGGCTGATGGTTGTGGAAGAATGTTTCCACTTCCTCTGTGGGCAAAGTACTTCACAATTATCACTTAAAGGCTATTTGCTATTTTGGGTAGTACTTCTGCCGTCAGTCACAGCTGGTAACTAGATCCTGAACAATGGATTTATGCTGTGACAGAGTTTTTTAATTCCATTGTTGCTCTGAGGAACATCACTGGGCATTGCTTTACCACTACAGTTTAAATTATGTTCTAACTACTTAGACATAAGAAGCTCTGTTGCCTGTATTTGAGAAATCATCCACACGCCATGCTGGTTTTGTTGTCCGAACAGAATCCCTTCATATTTTTTGTAATGTTTGCTGCAAAAATATATTGCTTACAAGAGTTTCAAGAGTTTGAGGAAAGTGTCTGTGCTCTGATGTAGAATCAGTTATTCTGTTTTCATGTTTTAGAACTCCTGCCAATGTTTGTTTAATTTCAGAAAATTATTTTCTTAACACTGCATGTTTTCTATCATATTACTTATCTTTTAAAGTTCAATAGAAATCTATAGACTGATGTGTGGAATCACTAATGACTAACTTTCTCATTTATGCTTGGGTTCAAAGTGACCATATCTTGTATTCAGTACTATGTAATCTGAAAAAGTAATATCAGTCATCCTGTTTTTATAATTAGATCAGCATCATCAGTTGCCTTGCAAAATTTTCCAGATGTTTGGACATTCTTGTATGGCTGCAGCCACCATTGTCCTTTCTTTACTGTTTCTCTCTACAGCTGTTTGCAACTTCACTCACTTCTGTAGAAGTGAACTTTTTGCATTTAATATTCACCATTGTCTTTACCTGTTTACCTCTTCATAGAGCTCTTCTGAATACTGTTGTTCTAGGCTTCTTGCTTTTGGGGGCTTAATCATGGCTTCTAGTTTAACAGGTTGAAATGAGCCTGCTGAATTTGAGAATCTACTGTTATGCCTGTAAATTCATTATAGTAGACAGGAAAGTGGAAATCTGTGTGATGTTTGAGTAGGAACAATATAGTGATTTAGATATGTGTTCAACGGAGAGAATCTGTGTAAATATAAATCAAATGTAAGGTAAGCAAAAGATGTGAACATAAACTGTTTGATGACTAGGGATGGTCCCAGAAGTCAGATCCTCATGGAAAGAACAGTGAAAAAAAACCTAGGCTTGCTTTTTATCCCTTTTTAAAAAAATATTTTAATATAAATAAAAAAATATTAATACCTATATTAATTTTGATATGGGTTGTCACGTAAACTAGTGGATGCTACTAAGTGAGGCTGTTACTCACAGAGGTGATCAGTGGGGTCAAATAACCATATCACTCATTAGAAGACAGTGCAGAGGCTGGCCAGGAAGGTGTTGGTGGAGAGAAAGGAGGATGCTGAAAAGGTGGGGGGAGATGCTGTTTTTTGCGTTTGGGTGTGTGTGTGGGGGGGGTTTTATTATTGCTAGATAGCAGGTGAGAAAACATGCCTATTGGAGTTTATTGGAGGGAGAGAAAGCAAGTGCACGCATACATGCTCTTTTACACCTTGTTGGTCTCCCCTTAGCAACCAAATATCTCTAGAGGCTGGAGTATTTCTCTTTTTTGGCTTTTCAGTCCACTCTTTGTGACGTGGAAGACGGGGCGAGACAAGCGGCTTCGTGGCTGCATCGGGACCTTTTCAGCCATGAATCTTCACTCAGGACTCAGGGAATACACATTAACCAGGTAATTATGTTGAAAATGAAATAAATCTGAAATTAGTTTAATTTGCTGAAGATCTATAAGGATTCAAGGTTAAGACGTTGGGTCAACATAGTTCAATTTAGTATGCTTCACAAGAAAATAAACCTGAGAATTGTATGATAGGGTGAAGTAATATGTCAGAATTAAGTGCAACATCTTTGCAACAGGTGAATTTTGGTTGATGTTTTAAGGCTAATGTCAAATCTGTCTTGCATACTAACAGTTTTGACATCTTACGTAGCACATAATTTCTCTTCAACTGCAGTAAGTGGAGGACAGCATCAGGAAGCTTGCACTAGTGTTTACATATTACAGTTCATTAGATAGGAAGAGATGCAAATCACTTTCTCTGCAGTAGAAGAGAGGAACATGTTTCACGGAGGCATAATCAAAAAGGGAATAATTGAGCATCTGACACTTTAATTTGGTGCTTGTATTAGGCAATATATGTTCTCTTTCCTTTAGTGCACTTAAGGACAGCCGATTTCCCCCCCTGACCCGCGAGGAGCTGCCCAAACTCTTCTGCTCTGTCTCCCTCCTCACTAACTTTGAGGATGCCAGTGACTACCTGGACTGGGAGGTGAGAACAGGTGCATTTGGAACTCTGCATCATTCTCGTTCCATTTGGGTTCGGGTTAGTACATGGTGATGTGTCTCCTTCGTTACAGGGGTGTACGGGCATTGAAACTGGGAATAGAAGAAATGGGGCTGGAAAACCAGAAGGGAGGAAGAGGGTGGGCTAGCAGTATGCTTTTGCCTGGGAGGGGATCTGAATGGGAATAAAAGAGACCTGAGAGTGTTTTATGGATTTGGCCCAATAGGAGATGGGTGTAAATACATGTGTAAAAACCTGGGAAGTATTTTGACGCTGTGAATAGAAACTGAGAACAAAAAGTAGTTAAGACCAAAGGTATTAATCATTTTTAGGATCTTGTACATGGAAATGCATTTAGTTCAAGAAAGATTAAATAGACTTTGTGGTTGGGCTATTTTAGGCATGACTCTTGTGTAGAGATCTTGTCTTTCTTGCCCAACATAAGAGATGAAAAGTTGTCAGACTGCTGACAAGACTTACTTCAGGAGAAGTAGCAGGGAGACTGGTTAGGCTTGTCTGGGAAAGGGGGCAGAGGTCCTTTACGCTGCTAAGAGACCTGCCTGGCAAGGACAGAGAGTGGGGAAGAGACTGTCCTTATCCAGGCAAAAGCCAAACTGGCCAGAGAGAGAGAGATACAGTGTTGTGGGAATGACAACTCGATCATGGACTCAACGCTAGCAAACACCTCTTATTTGGCTATTCATTTCCATCTATAGGTTGGGATCCATGGGATCAGAATAGAGTTCATCAATGAGAAAGGTGTCAAACGCACAGCCACGTATTTACCTGAGGTTGCTAAGGAACAAGGTGGGTTTGAGATGGCAGCCAAACATGTCAACACATTGTGTCACAGAATTGGGTAACATAAATCTATGGATTTTGGGTTTGGATTGCAATGCTATCCTCATAGTAGTGCCATGGAGCTACCAGGCTTAATCTGGATAACTGACACCTGACACAGCTGCTGCTGGGTTTTCATCTGGCCTTTCTCTCATCCCACATCTGTGCACAGCTGTATCTTAGTGTAAAAATGTTTTAGGGCTTAAGAGATAGAGGATCTCAAAGTATGGATCTTCCAGCTTCATTCAGCATTGCATCTTTCCTCTTCTATGTTTCTCCCACCAACTAGGATAACTGCAGGCTGCACAGCACCAACAGGAGAGTCCCTTTCCTCATTCTTGCTAAAGTAGCATCCTCCAGATGAGGGCAGGAAACAGGGCCCCTCTGGAGCACACTTCCCACTCAAATATAGTAGCGGTCACCATGGTAACTGCTCAAAATATTGCCTCCTTTCCTCCACCTAGCAGAGTGGAGTGGTCGCATCCTCCTGGCTCTGGGGCAAAAGACGAAGGTAGGAATTTTAACTCTGATCTCTCACATAGCAGTGCACTGTGCTATCACTAGAGCATCAGGTTGATCCCAATTTGTCTATGTAAAGAGCTAAGTATTATCTTATTTTAAGGCTTAGAGAGCTAAACTTGAGTGGCACGTGATAAAACAGTTTGGGGTCCCTGCAACAGAAGCAAGGCACAGACCTTTGTAAGAAGAGAGGTCATATGGAAAATGGAATTACTGTTTTATAAACCGTTGCAGTTCCAATATGAGTTAAAAGGGGTTGGCATGTGCAGATAGTGTGCGTGCATAAGACCATGTATGTCCAGTTCAACACTAAAGCTTAGTTTCCTGTTTAGTTGTTTGCTTTTCTAGAGGCCTTTTAATGCATCTCTTACCTTTTTGAAACATATTTTTATATTGAAAAATTTCCTTTGTTTCTATTTTTCAATAGACTGGGATCAGATCCAGACCATAGACTCCTTACTCAGGAAAGGTGGCTTTAAGGCTCCAATTACCAATGATTTTAGGAAAACGATTAAACTTACCAGGTAAGTCAATATATTTGTCGTCTTTAAATTTTACTTCATAGTGTTTTGTGGGTAATTTAAAGTATTTGTACTTGATGTGAGTCTTCATGCCTCTTTCAGATGAGAGATGTAGTCTGAGAGACAAAATCACAAATGCCACATGCTAGGCGTATTATGTATATGGAATGAAGTGCAATGTGTCCAGTCCATGCAGGATCAAAGTTAGCATTTTCTAAGAGAATTGCCACTGGTTTTAATATTATCATCCACATGACAGATCAAAAGAAGCAGAACCTTTGAAAGTTAAAAAGGTTGATTTTTCTGTATCTTTACAATGGACTTCCTTTTCTCAGTGTGCTCATCTGTGGATGGTGTAGCTATTCAGAGGTGACAGCTGTCTTAAAACCAAACCACGCTCAAATTTGGCTGGTTTTCAGAATTTGCTTGCTTTTCTATACCCCCAGCTGTCCTATTGGTTTCAGCTCCCTTTATGTTAGTAAAAAACGGGACATTCTGGTTTTGTATAGAAACACTAATTTATCAGGTCATTCCTTACCTCTGGAGAAATGAGGTGGGTATGCAGAGGATTTTTTTAACAGGAGAGGTCAGGATGAAGGTTTTCATTAAAATCTGGTGTAACATGGACTTAGTGCAATTCACAACCACTTTGAAGTTATCTGTTGTGTAGCATGCTTTAGAAGCACCTGGAAATCTCTGGTCTCTCAGAAGGCACTTCACGTTTTGTGAATTCTGATTGTACAACGTGGACTAAGTCACATACATGCTATAATAAACCTCCCTTCACCCAACTCTCCATCATTTTCTTTCACTAGCCTTTCAAATGTGAAGATAACCACAGAAGTAAATAATACTGAAATACTGGTTATTTAGTCTCTGAAACAGAGTCTTCTTCCAGCAAACTTCTCATGCCCTTTTTTTTTCCGCAGCAAGTGGATAAAAAGAATACAAATTGATCATTTGTTTCCTGTGTGCTACTGCAGGAGTCCCCTTAATTATGATTGCCTTGTCAACTTTTGGGACATTGAAGCTAATTCAAGCTTAGATGGGTTATTCAGAGTACTGCATGAGGCAGTATCAGACAAAGTAGTTTTTGAAGTTAGTGGGTTCCTCTTGGTCGTTATTGGCTGTTAGCTAAAAGATCTGGGATGAATGTTTTTATGTCTAGTCCCTTCATATTGCATAGTCTGTTTACGTTATTTTTTTTCTTATGCTGTTCCCATAGGTACCGAAGTGAGAAGGTGACAATCAGTTATGCAGAATACATGGCTTCCCGTCAGCATTGTTTCCAGAATGGCACTCTTCATGCCCCCCCCCTCTACAATCATTACTCCTGACACACGGCTGCATGACCAGTCCCACTCCCCAGTTGCTGCCAACGGCTACGACATCATTGGGGCAGATGCCTCCTCTTCCTGGTCCAGTTACTTCTATTACTGCACCATTTTATGATGCTAGCTTCCGTTGCCAAGTCTGCCTTCCAGCTGACCTGGGGGGAGGATGAGAGCATGACAGAACTTCAGGGGCCCAAGCCTTATCTCAGCCTTCCCTCCGAACGGGGGTTCAGTTGGATTGGGGCTCCATGCCTATGAACTGTCGTGAGGTGCAGAAGACCTCTAGGAGTGAAAGTGCCACTTCGGACTGATCTGTTCTTGTGTGTTACTGACACTCCGGAAACTTGAGTTGTTCGTTATGGAAGCCCCCCAGATCAAGTAGGAGCATTCCCCTGGCAGCCTGGGCAACGGAGTCCAACAAAACATTTTTTAGGTTCTTTTTAATTTTTTTTAACCTCTGGTATCTGTTGTGTACCGAGAGCTGATTGCAGTCCCCACGCATCACAGGCGGACATTATGATATTGGGGAGGGTTGAACATCTGGATAGCACCCCATCCTCATGGACAGAAAACACTTAAAGATGTGAAAAACCTTTGGATGGTATTGCAGATGAATCCATTATTTAAATAAACCCTAGAAGGCTTTAATTATCAGATTCTACTGTAGGTTGGATTCTCTAGAAATCCTCTTGGTTTACAGTTTTCTGGGTTTTTAGACAGTGCTTTGTAATGTAGCCTGCTATGAAATAGAATGCTGTTATGCCTGTAAGAGAGCAACATGGCACATACTGTGTATGCGAAGGACAAGGTACTTGAGTGTCCCTGTACAGTCTTCTCTGTTACGACCAAGTTTTGTGTCCAAACATTTGTAACGGAGCCTGGTTGGATTAGGGATGGGGAGGGATTTGCAGGGCATTGACTGTAGTCATACAAGTGAGACTAGTGACTGAAATTTGTTTAACTTAAGCTAACAGTCTCGGGGACCTTCCTTTTGATAGGACAGCCACTTTCTCTGGTGTGACTATCGATCTTGAGAACTGTGAGTATTCCAGTTTATAGCAGGCCTATGGAATACAGCTATGTAGTTTCACTGGTAAGTTATTATCTTACACAGTTTAGTCATTACCACATCAAGGCAATGAGTGGGGAAACCTGTGTTACCCAAACTGTGTGAAACTCATGTGCATTCTGTATTTCTTCTCCCATCATTGATGATTACAAGAAATATTCTCATCTAAGAGGAAGGTAACTTACCCAGTTGTTTATTCTGCAGTGTCATTGAGGGATGTCATAAACTCTAAATTATGACTCCCAATGAGGTCACTAGACTTCAAAATTTGTTTTGTTTTTTTGTTTCTGTTTTGTTTTCCAAGTTTCTGGAGGGTCAACAATGATCAGGAAGAAAATACAAGTGCATAGCAGAGACATGGCTATTTGGTTGCATATATCTTGAAAGTTCGTTTGTGTGTGGTAATGATGGCTTTTAAAATTGGCTGGTGTTTCAAGCCTGAAATTCTCTCCTGGCATGGCAGGGAAATAGGGCTGGTAGAAAGCTCAGAACTGCATGCTGCTGCTCCTTCTGGTCCTAGAGAAGCAAACAGAATTGTGCAGTTTTGCTTCATGTTGGTGTAACGTCCTCCTACTGGAGGAGAGAGACGTGAGGGAAAGGAGGGGGTCCTATTCTGGATAACGGTGCAATATCGACCCAGCTTTCCTCCTGTACTGGGTCATTCTTATAAATTGCCACTTTTCCCTTGTGATGTTGTTGAAAAGCAATTGAAGATTAAGGGATTGTTTCATGATTTCCTGCTGCTGAGAATAAATCGGTCTTGTTACAAACTCGAGTGGTTTGTAATTACTCTCCCAGGTGCCGTGTAGTGATGGGGGAGGGTGGGGTCAGCTCTGGACATACCATTCACCTTTCAGCTGTCAAACAGTATGATACATAGGGCTACACTCATTACTGTTCAAGTGTTCTATGTTAGAATTTAATTTCTAAAAGGTTTAAAAAAAGCAAAAAAATGGTGCTAAAACTTCACCCCTGAGCACGCTCAGTGAGACTGGTCATGCAGGCATATAGTGCCAGGCTTTTCAACAATATTGTTTCTTTTTCAAATGTTTGCCCTGTTCTGTGTCTTCAACAGTGTATAGTGTTTTCCTGATTTCATTTTATTTGAATAGGGGATGACTAAGGGGTGGGGTGGGGAGGGTTAGCTGTCATTTTTAAAGAACAGAATTTTAGGATTGAGTGACTTGGTTGGTTTAAGGCTGAAGTGGGCTAGATGGTTTGGGACTGGGGAAGCCTTATCCTCTCCCACTTCCATTTCCCCACTCCGTCTGTTTAAAAAGAAAAACAAACAAAAATGCCTCTAAATATGTACTGTGTTCTTGTCTTGTTGCAGTGAGAAGAGAAGCTAGCAAATCAGAAACACTGGTCTGCTGCCTAAGAAACAGGCCCTCTCAGCTTTAGTCCCATAAGGGTCCAGCTATAAAATCAGTTGAAAAGTGTCAATAGTTAAGTTAGCTCAGAAAAATGTATGACAAGGACAGGTGGTCTCAGGAAATAACCCCATTTCTAGATCATTACATGGCAGCTATGCATAAGGATGAAAGAGGTGAACTAGAAACAAAATGTACTTTGAGTTGCCTCACGATGGAGGCAACCGAAATCAATGACCAACTGATGTAAGAATTCCTCTGTGGTTACTTGGCTGGGACAGCAGGTTAGAACTACTTCTCAAAGCAACTGTTAACCTGGTTTGATCTGGATTTAACTCATCCTTAGAAGCAAGTGCCTTTTGGTCTAGAAGGGCTTATTCTCATGACAACCACAACTGAGAAATAATCTCACTGCAATTATGAATTGTCTTTGTTTTACAGTAACTACAGGAGAATGTCTTTGATCACTGGAGTCTGTCAGTGTTGGAATGTTTCCACTGTGAAGTTCTTAATTTTTTTTTTCATAATGTTCAACAGTCAATCTCAACTGAGGCCATTTCAGTTTGGGAACGTTTTGCAGTCAAAATATCACATATCTACAATTTATCAGAACAAAAAAAAATCTGTAAGAAAATCTAAGAGTTCATTTTAACCTTTGCACAGAATAATTTGTTTTCATAGTACATTAACAAACATCAGCAATCTTCACTGACTAGTAATGCTGTTTTCTGTTTGTATTCTGGAAACTACATGTTGTTTTGTTGGGTTTTTTTGGTTAATTTATTTCCTTAAAGCAGGAGACCTCTTTTGACCTTCAGTGCAGAGATGTCAGACCAATTCTTTGTATTACACTTGGTTGCCTCCTACCTATATAATAACTTCTGAGTGTAAATAATTGAACTCTATCCTCTAATGAAGTATTGTAGAGAATAAATCATACTGGATAAAGATTATTTGTACTGTCCTCTTTATATGGTTTCTCACAGCCTTTATGGGGGATAAGATGAAATCTTTCTCATCTAGAAAGATGAACAATTTACTGCTTGTATGAATACCAAACATCTAAATTACATTAAATGTTCAGAACCAGGGAGGTTGCCAGAATGGGATGACAGCTGTCTGGAAGCACAGAAATAGCCAAGACAGGCTCGCTAGAAGAAAGCGAAGAAAAATAGTAGGAAAAGTAAAAACAAAGATTAAATATGTTTCATTAATAATGGCATAGCAAAGTATCTTTGTATCCTGAAATGTTTGCTTGACAATAACTCTCTACTAGTTGTCATGATGGTGAAATACATAAAGTGCATACATGCAGAACTCTGTATCATACTGAAAATCCTGAATTTGTAAATCTGGCTTAGTTTAAGCCAAAATTGTTCTTTGTTTTTTTGTCTTTTAAAATGAACTAATGAAAACAGATTATCTGTACTTCATAGGTTGTAGTCTTCAGGTGATCTAAAAATGTTATTTCAGGAAAAAGAAACACCCATCTTTCTAGATTCTTACTAAATATTTTAATGTTTGCTTTGAGACAGGATCAATTGATCTGTATAATAGTTCTGATGTACAAACCTCTAGCTTAAATGTTTTTTCCATACACTTTAAGGTTATTGCTCATTTTTTTGTTTACCACAGATGTATAGTTAAAGATCCTGCATTTCCTGTTCGTGGTTCTTGGGAAGGGCAGCCCTGGCTATCAATGAAGAACAGGTATAAGACCCCCCAAAAAACCCCAAGCAAATCAAGGGGGAGGGTAGTTTTGACTTAAATATGCCTGAGAAGCTCATTGACTTCAGTGCAACTACAAAGCAAAAACGTATTTTCAGAAAATATGCTTCTGGTACTAGTAAAGCTAGAAAGTAAATCCCCTGTGCAGTATGAGGAGTGGGTTGAGGAGGACTCTGTGGCCAACATGATTTCCAGATGACTCATTGTAAATTCTGAAGTCAACCGTAAAACTGGCATCCACTGTTGTCATGTGCCCAGGTAAGTTATCAAGTATATTCTCTCAGCTTCTTTGTTGGCTAGAATAGTGACTTATTGGTATATTTTTATGGCATATGTTTTTCCTTACTTGATTTTTTTGGTTTCACATTGAATCAGTCAGACATAAAATCTTTGTCCAGTGTCTTTCATCAGAGGTTCTTTCATGCTCGTTTCTGTAACTGCAGTAACACTCAGCAGCTCACAATGAAGATGAGGCCAGGTAAAAGGGTGTACATATGACTGCATATGGAAATAGTTCAATCCAGACTAAATATAAACCAGGATAATTCTCCAGAAAACACTTTCTTCTGTTTTTACTTCTGTTTGAAATAAGAAACAAAATGAATTAATTACTTAGCACTCACTTCCTTCAAAAAACAAATCACAGGTTAGGAGAAATCTCTACAAGATACTTCAAATGAAGAATACTTGAGCATTTTTATTCTAAATACAAAAAATAAATTATTTTTTGACAAAATTTTTATTATAAGCTACCTAATTGTGATTGAGAAATGCCACTTCTTGAGGATAAAAATTAAAACCAGAACACTTTCCCATGCGACTCAATAAATTAATATTTATACTGACCTATGTATTATGAGGATCGCTCTCAAACTGAATTGTAGTACATGGAGCAGTAGGATAGAGAAGTTCCTAAACTGTTTTTGCTACAATCTGGGAAAAGATGACCTGTCAATACGTTTGATGATCACTCCCAAAACACAGAAAGCCCAGAAGACTATTGTTACCATGTTCCTTAAAACAAGTATGTAACTCTACAAATTGACCAATATCCAGATTATTGAACCATATTTTTTTCTTTTTATAGTCGGCTAGACTACTCATAATCAGATGAATTCTGACATAAATTATGTATTATAGAACCAGTTGATAGTATGTTTAGATGTCATTATATATGTATTCAAAAACTTAACAGATGATGCAAGAGCCAGTTTTGCATTCAGAGGCTTATTATCACTTTATTACTGGGTATTACTATAACTTTATATTGCTCATACATGTTCATTCATTATAGTTTTGGATGTATAATTTTAAATGGAGTAAAAATAAACAAAGGTAAAATGGTATGAAAACCTAAACTTGAAGAGTTATACATTAAGAACACAGATGAAAAAGCATACGTGTCTTGTGCAATAATGGCTATTATGGCACATGATATTCTGAGTGGGTGATGTTATATCCACAAGGATTTTGACCTATTCCTATAACGTGCTAGAAACGTTGATGATAATGAAAAGAGATTAAGGTTTTAATATCCTAATCTTGTTACTTTTAGTTTATCAAAAACTTTGCAATTTTTTTTTTTTTTAAGTTGGGGGTTTTGACACTCCACACAAAATACATAATTACTGCTGGAAAGCTTAAAAACTGCTAGGAAGATAACATTTCTTCTGCTGGCGAATTAGAAGGAAAGCATATTACAAAGTATGGTTATACTAATAATAGAACATCCTTGTTACTAGTTCCTCCTACATTCTATTACATAGAGGTATTTAGCTAAGCTTTTTTTAAGATCTATGTTGGTGCACTTAGTTGTTACTGGGTCTGTTTTTAAATTATGGCAATGTAGAAATTACCATAGTAGGTCTGTCTAACAATCCACTATCTAATATCATGTCTCCAGCAAGGGTCAATACTTTTTGCCCTGGAATATGGAATACTAGAGGCTCTGTTCGCTATAAATTAGATTTGGCCAAGTCTGTCTTTTTTTTTTAATCAGTTAATTTTAGGATATGACCAGTAAATAGACCTGAAACTTCCTACAGTCATTCACTTTACTTTAATCTATCTCATCTTTCTTTTTTATGCACATTTTCCAATCGAATTGATAAATGCTGAAATAGTTATTATTAGTGAGGAAGAAGCCAGCACATTTTAAAAATAACAAAGGAAAAGTCAGGTACTCTGTTATGTTTGGTTTGTTGCAATAGCTGAACAATATTTACTGTGGTTTTATAAGTGCATTTTTAAAATTCTTTAAAAAAAGGGGGGGGGGGGGCAGATTTCATTCAGGAATGTTCTTATTTGTCTCATTTGACTCTTGAGACCTTAACCAAACACATCAGTGATAATGAACCTTTATCTTTCATGATAGCCTCTTTAGCTGTACCTATAAACTCTTGCAAGTATCTGGCTTTCTCTTAATTGTTTCAGGTTTTGTATACTTAAGTAGAATGGATCCTTGGGGAAAACCAAAAGTTAAATTAATAATTTAAACCTCGGCAAGCTACCTACTGCTCTGAGAATCATGATGTTCCGAGTAGATGGGTTATTTGAGAACCCATCAGGATTCCAAGTGATTTTAAATGCTTCTCTCATCAATCTGGCATGGATTTCCTTGTTTTCTTGTAAACCTAATTGAAATTGTTTAATTTGCCAGATGTTCCCTGAGATATTTTCATTCCATCTTCCTGAATGTCTTTCTGCTTGTACCACTTAACAAATTAGTTTTCAATCCATTTCTCTGCCATGCTTGTTTATCCACAGTTAAAGAACTATGATTTGACCCCTTCATACTCTTATCCATTATTCTTAGCGCGTTCCTTTTCCCAGCATGCAGGAAACAATTCACCTAGGCACGGATGCAAGTTCATGAGAACAGAAGTGGTTTCATCATAAATCCTCCAACAGTCTATTTTTGCCTTTCTTTAAGGGCACAGGATGACAGAGTAAGGTCTGATAAGGTGATTATTTTAAGAGTCTTAGTCTGGATAGGCACTTACATGGGAGCTCTCCAAGGAAAATACTACTCCGTAAGTTATTTTTGCTGGCAGTGTTCCCATGACATAGCGTTGGGAGAACTATAATCATTTTCAGCCTACCTATGACTTTTAGGGGTCTATAGATTACTCCTGGATAGTCTGAAAAAGTAACCTCCCTTTCATAGTGTGTTATTAATGGTATCAATACTCCTTCCTCACCAAGCGAGGTGTGTTAATCACAGTGAGCTAGATAGGAAAACACTGGCTGTACCAGAATTTCTAAGATCAAGGTTTGCTATCTAGCTGGAGGATGTTTTGGTAGCAAAATGGAGTAGGCTGTAGCTCTCTGATCCACTTCTGGTGCGAAGCCAGACAGATGAAAATGCATCTACTGCCTCGGTTGCCCCCAAGTGCTTCTGGGCAAATGCGTGCTGCGGTGCGGAGTCTGATGAGGGGTACCAGCAGAGTTTTGAGCTCTTCAGTTATTTCCCACATGACTGACCAGAAGGAGCTATCCTCTGAGTTTGCTTGTGTAGAAGATGAGCGTGGTTTCCCTCAGCGTTCCCTCCACAGCCTGCTCTCCTGGGCCACGGTTTATGCATTGTAAGACTTTGGGCCCACAATGTCTTGGTCTGTCACAGTTATTTGGCCTGTCTTCACAGAAATAAAGCTCCGGCACCCCACTGCTTTCGGTCTGTAGGAGCTAATTTCTAAGCGAGCTTAAACGCACCTTTGAGGGCTGTGTCCTGTCTGGGGGTGCTGAGGCGCCCTGTTCCCGCTGCTTCCCCCTCGGTGCCCCACAGGCGTAACCGCGCTTTTTTATACCCTCCGCAACGCCAGCCGTGCGCAGATAACAGTAACCCCTCCGTGCCCCCCCGGCAGCGC